GAATTTGATCTCATGTACCTGTCTAACAATTGCTGGATACTGAAGCATTGCACAGGCTGCAAATCTTAATGTTATCCCTCTCCATATACAAGTGATGCTACCTTCTTCAAAGAGATGTAAAAGATTGGATAAAAGAAGATGAATGCGATGCCTACTGCAGCATACATGATGAGTAGTGTCTCTAAATACTAGTCTCAGGTTCATGTTGTTAGTAATAACAAGCCTTTTCTTTAAGTTTGTGTGATATTAGAAATTGTTTTCTCGTCTACAAAACATCGTATTATTCCCAAAAGGCACAGAAGAGTCTCTGATTTTACAGTGATTCAAGCAGCAACCACACCGGGAGTGCTGGGATCTTTCATGTTCCAGCCATCGTATCCCTGAGGGAACATTAGCTGAAATCCCTACTGGAGATCCACTATACAGCCACTGCCATTCCCGAGGGAGAAAAAAGTGTGTATGGTATACACAGAACAGAGTCGTACGCATGTTGATGTGAAAGGCACACACCCCCACCTTCTTGTGTGAAAAGACTTAAGGAGGGCTCCCGAGGTTTAAGGAAGCTTCATTTCATGCAACTCACAGACTCAGGATCCTTTGGGATTCATGGGACTTTCTTCACAAAATGTATTCTGTCCATGTGTTTTGAGTCTTTGGCAGACTCTGGGTCTCAGGGACCATGCTGGCTCACAGGAAGAAATGATATGTTTCAGGCAAGCACCAAGCCTTACACTTCCCACCCTCATGCAGACAGAGTGCCACAGGCCCATTCACTGGAGCTAGGATAGAAGCCAAAGGGAACTTTCAAATTCAAGGCCAGAGATTAAAACTCACTGCACAATGGGAGTGAGCACAATGTCCTAAAAGCCTCTTTAGAAGGGCTGAGCTTCATTCAAGAGTTGCCCCATTTCATAGATGAGAACTATTAAGGGCAATGGTGTGAGCTTCTCTGAGGAGAAAGACTACCCACTAAGCAAATCCTGTTCGAGACTGGTGACACCTTTTGGCTATCATTTCAATCCATCTTCTCTTGCAGGGGTAACTGGCCCTTCAAAGTGGGAAGTGGCATGGCAAGGAGCCACAGGTGCTATTCCTGGGAATCATGGGGTACTCAGAGACTTTTAAAAAGAAAACAGCTGACATGGGAATACATGAACAAGGACAATACCTTTCAGTGACATCAGCAGTCCTTACCAAAAGAAAGAAGAAAGTCTTTCCCCTACAAGACAGCTATGAACATCGTCAAGCTAAACCACAGTGACTGCAGTTCTGTAAAAAGTCAAACCTTTAGGGAGGCAAGGTGATTTCAAGACAGTGCAGGCTTTGGAGACACTACATTTGAATTGAAGTACAACTTCCCCTGTAAGCGTTGGTTTTCTTTTTTCAAATGGACACAATAATTGACTGTCTTCCATACATCCTGGGACAAAGGGTGCATAGGGTAGGTGGGTGACTGGAGAGCTTGCCAGATACAGGGTAATCAAGGGATATCACATGACTTAATCTCACCCTTCCGTCTGACTCCATGGAAAGTTAACTACCAGCTGCTTGAAGCAGAAGTTACAGGGATACTGGGACAAGCATTCTCTCTGGTTTTAGTTGGATTTTGTGCACCATTTATGGTTACTGTTCTATCAGGTAGCTCTTGTGTATGACAAAGCACTCCAAGTAGCCAGTATTGTATAAAAGCAATTCCTTACTTTGCTCACAATGCTGTAGGCAATTTCTGCTGGTCTCCAATGAGAGCTTCTCCTGTCATCCTTGGCTTGGCTTCCATATTCATCTCTGGCAACAGACCTGTTGTCTGCCTGGCAATGCTTGTGGATGAATGGTCTGTGATATTCTCCCACATTTGTTGAGTGACATGGTCTATGCTTGCTGGGGTGAGTGGGATGAAATGGCCCTGGGTCTGTCATGGTCCAGGCAGCTTATACTGCTTCACATTACTCTCAAAGTGCTTGAAGCACTAAAACCCAGGTAAATTCCCCAGGACAAGCAGTTTCAAGTCGGCTTGCTTCGTGTTTGCTCTTGTCAAACCGGATGAAGTGAGTTACATGGCAAAGGGCAGAGACAAGGACAAAGGCAGAGGGACACCTCCCAGTTGTTATCAGTGAGTACTACAGACATCTGTGACCTGTCCTGATTGTTATGAGAAAACAAAAATCTTAAATTTCAACAAGTTATGCTTTGCAAGGCTTTTCTCTTCAAAATGACCTTTGTATTTCCTTATAAATAACAGTTAACATTCCCTTATTCCTCTGAGTGAATAACACAATTGTGTTATGAAATTCTGGAAAGAACACATCTGAAACTTGGTCATTCTGGGGGAAGTTGTAATGTCCTCTACTTAGAAATCAGCGCCTTTACAGTGGATCAGGTCCCCACAGACTCTTTTGGCTTACTTTGGCTGCCACACAGTCTTCAGGTCACACCGTGCCACTGACCTCCTTCACTCTGTTCTTGCCTTTCCTGTCACTGTTTTCCTGAGATCTTTTTCTTCTCATGCAGGCCAAGTGTTGAGCGTCTGGATTTAGGCTCAACTGTCTTTGCTCAATCCAAGACATCATAAATGATGCCAAAGCCAGTTTTTCTTGCCACCACTAAAATGGATTCTGACTCCAACTGTGATGATGACATCTGGTGCAGTCCTTCACATTTTGTCTAGGTTTTCCCAGATTTCTTTCTTCATTAGTGTTGCCTTTCTAGGGTTAAGGATATCAAAGGCCACTTGTTTCTTCTATAGTAGTCAGATAGTCATGAAATGAACATTCTGGTCTGGACAGTTACTGTGCCATTCTTGATGGTGGAGATCCTCAACCAGCAAGGAGGCAAGAACTCCTTGGCTTTGGTTTAATCAGAGAATTGTGATCTCCTAAATTAGTCACAGATCCCAGCCCAATCTACTAACTTCACACCTGTTCCTCCTGCTATTCAGATGTCAGAGAACAACTTTTGACAGTTTCTGCTATCATTAAGCCTAAACTAAGATTTTAGGACTTCTTGTATTTTTTTATTTGCTTTGTGGTAGTTGATACTGCCCATTTGAATGTCTCTGTTGCGACAGTCTTTTCCATGTGATTGCACTCACTACACAGGAAAGGCACTATTATAAATACTGACATTCCATTCTTAACAGAAAATAGTCTACATTTTCCTGACTTTTACCTAAGACTGTTATCCACAAGTCAAATCACATTAATCTTTTAACCAAAATGGTAGACTTTGATCTCTCATAATCTCATTTTACCAGTTCAGAGCTTCTTAAGAAACATTTGGCAATATTCATTGCAATGTGCACATTTATCGGCATCCTGATGGTAATATGCTTTTACCTAGTTTTTTAATAGCAATTCTGAGTGTGTTTACACTGAGTAAGTGTGGTGTGATACCTCCCTTCTAGTTTTTCTTTAATCACAGGGTAATCCTGTCCAAAGGTCTTTCAGAATTCTTTCCTACTTAGCATATCTTCAATAGCAATGGTATCTCTATATAAGCCCGTATCTCCACCTGCATCTGACCATACTCTCCCCCACATAAGCAGGTCTTGGGCACTGCACAGACATCAACAGTCATTTACAAAAGCCATATCGTGCCTGAGACAGCTCAGGCATTTACTACCCTTGAGAACAGGATCATTTTCATTCATTTTCTGGTTTAACTGGGATGGAAAATATGTTGCTAAGTTGATACTTGAAATCTGCACTGTGTGTGGCACAGCCACCTCTCAAGTTTTCTGAGTTCACTTCCCTTTGATGGAATGGTTTTCCATTCCAAAGCAGGGTTCTATACCTTTCAACCCAACCCAGGATCCAGTTGATGCAACTTGAGTGCTGGTAAGAGATAGATTCTAAAATGATGGAGGAGACATTCAGTCTCCCAGAAATCTAGAAGTCTACACCAGATAAGGAATGAGAGAAACCTTAAAGAAAATAACAAAGTATGGTTAAAGTTTTGTGTTAATTTTGGACTCTGGGATGCTGCTTCTCTGGCAAGAGGTCAGTGTGAACAAAGCACACTGAAGTTTGCAATCTCCAAATGAAAACCACTGGGCCAGGGCAATGACTCACTAGGGAAAGTGCTTAGGGTCAAAGTAAGGACCTGAGTTCTGATCCACACCACCCACATAAAAGGCAGGCAGCAATCCCAGAGCTAGAGAGACTCTAGAAACTGAGACTGTGACATTTTGGGGCTTTCTGACTAATGCAGCTCAACTGGGGAGATCCTATCCACAAAGCCATAATGGTGGGAAAGCAATGGAAGCAGTGGAGGAAACACACACACACACACACACACACACACACACACACACACACACTCAAGAAGAATCACCAAACCCCTGGACGCTCATCTGTGAGTGTGGGCCTATACACCTGTTCAGAAAACACACACACACACAGACACACAGACACACACACACACAAAGAATCACCAAACCCCTGGACGCTCATCTGTGAGTGTGGGCCTATACACCTGTTCAGAAAACACACACACACACACACACACACACACACACACACACACACACACACACACAAAGAATCACCAAACCCCTGGACGCTCATCTGTGAGCTGGCCAGGAAAGGGTGCTGTGTGTGAGGATGGAGGCTCTTGACAGGGGATCCAAGACTTTGTGGGGGTGCTGCTCCAGAAACATCTTGCAGTGGGGTTGAAACGGAGGAGTCCCAGGGCTCAGTGACTGGGAAACTGAGGAACAGAGAGGCTATGGAAAATGGGGATAGGGGCCGTGTGCAAGTGTTTCAGGTAAGGGCTGAGGCAAGATGGTTGACAAGCCGCAGAAGAGAACCTGTTGAAGAAGGCAAGCTGCGTGTGACTCAGCAAAGATTATTCTGGCAAGACTGCCATTGGTCATTCTGGAGACACCGGCCTTCTGCCTATAAATAAGGCAGTGCTGTTCATGATGGGAGAGGACTGTGACGCAGACCTCCACCCTGCTGCGTGGGCCTTTGTCGGGGAGGCCCCGGCCCCCACTGCTGCTGCCATGTCTGGCCGAGACTCACACGTGGTGGTGAGGATCCTGTGCAATGTCACAATGGGGTGCACCTCCCCAGCGCGGAGGAGCTAGAAGCTTCGCAGTCAGAGCAGTGCTGGGCGCCTGCGCAGTGATCCCTCAGCGTCTCGTGTTGAAGGAGTCTAGAGACCCCCGCCTCCGCCCCTCGCCCTTCGCTCTTCGCTAAACGCTCGCGCACGCGCACCCGGCCGCGCGCGCACGCGCCTCACCTCGCTCAACCCCTGCCTGGTCTGCGGGCTGCAGAACGGGCGCGCGATCGCGGGCAGGCGGGCGAGCGAGCCAGCAGGCGGGCGGGGACCGCGCACCGTCCACTCGGGGGCTGTGCGGAGGAGGAGCGGGCTCCGGGCTCCCGGCTCCAGGCGGCGGAAGCGGCGCCTCCAATCAGGCGGCGGGCTCGCGACCCTCGGCGTGCCCGGCCTGCGCTGCCCGCCCCGCGGACTGACTGACGCGCCGGCTCGCCCCCGCCCCCGCGCCCGCCCCCTCCTAGTCTCCCCGGGCTAGGGCTCAGCTCGACTCGGCTCAGCTCGGCTCCACTGCTCTGCGCTCTCGTCTTCTCCAGCCCTCGCCAGGCCCATTCCCTGCCCGCAGCGGCTCCTCGGCTGTGCGGTGGCGGCCCGCTTGCGCTCGGCATCTGCAAGAGACCCAGAGGCGGCGGCGGCGGCGGCGGCGGCGGCGGCAGTGGCAGCGCCGAGGATGAAGTGCAAACCGAACCAGACGCGGACCTACGACCCCGAGGGCTTCAAGAAGCGCGCCGCGTGCCTGTGCTTCCGCAGCGAGCGCGAGGACGAGGTGCTGCTGGTGAGCAGCAGCCGCTACCCCGACCGCTGGATCGTGCCCGGCGGGGGCATGGAGCCCGAGGAGGAGCCGGACGGCGCGGCGGTGCGCGAGGTGTACGAGGAGGCGGGAGTCAAGGGGAAGTTGGGCCGGCTGCTGGGCGTCTTCGAGCAGAACCAGGACCGCAAGCACCGGACCTACGTGTTCGTGCTCACCGTCACCGAGCTGCTGGAGGATTGGGAAGACTCGGTCAGCATCGGCAGGAAGCGAGAGTGGTTCAAGATCGAAGATGCCATCAAGGTCCTCCAATGCCACAAGCCCGTGCATGCCGAGTACCTGGAGAAACTGAAGCTGGGTGGCTCCCCCACTAATGGAAACTCGGCCGCCCCGTCCCTGCCCGAGAGCGAGCCCTAGTATGTACCGCTCCCGCCCGCCCGGACTCCTGCCTGTCGCCTCCCCGCACTTGCCTCCTGCCTGCCTGCCTGCCTGCCCGCCTGCCTGCCTGCCAGGAGAGCACCTCTCCTGCCCTGTGCGCCGGCACGGGCAGGAGGGAGGCTTCTTTTGTTTCCTTGGCAGGCAGACCTCTGAATCACGCTTGCAAACTGTCTCGGTTGCCAGGCGCTGTTTGCAGACAATTTGCACGTTTTTCAGATGCTTTTCTAATCGCTTCTTGGTGACACTGTAAAAATCTTGCGGTCAGCCAGTGCTGCATGGGATTTCGTGAAAGGTGCCTTAGCTGCTTGTCCTGCTCTTCATGGAGGGTGCGCTTGTGGTGTGTGTGTGTGTGTGTGTGTGTGTGTGTGTGTGTGTGTGTGTGTGTGTGTCTGCCCTGTGATGTTTTTGTTTGGATGGTGATTTTTCCCCTAAACACCCTTTACATGTGTTTATGCGTGAGTGTGCGTGCGCACTTTTGATGTCAGGCTTGTGGTTGGTTTCTTAGTGGAGGCCTTTAGGGTCCTACCACCTGGTGATGAAGGGGAACATATTTTTATGCTTTTTTCCTTGTTTCTCATTCACAGCCTTGATTCTTGGCAGTGAGCCATTCTTGGTAGACATTGATTCAGATGATTTGATTGAAATTAAAATGAGAATTAGAGACTTCCCACCTTTCCTTTCTGCATAGAGCACCCAAAACGTCATCTAATATGCCCAGGACAGGAACTTGCTATGTTTTTACATGATCAAAACCCACTTTTATTTTCAAGAAAATTTTACACTTGATGATTTTTCACTACTGGACATTTTAAGTTACAAGGTGTACCCTGATAGACCGGATATTCCTAGAGACATAATAAGATACTTTTATCAGGATAACTATTTATATATAGCTTTAGCCTGCCAGTAGCTTCTGACTCCCAGCACCCTTCTGGATACTCTTTTTTAAAATGTGCTTTTCTCAGTGTCCATTCATTTTGAAAGAAAGTAAGCTATACTTGAATTTTGTAACTTTTCAGTTTAAACTCCCTGGCTCCCAGCAAGTGCAGGAATGAAATCTTTTATGGTGATTGCATATCTACAGTCATTCAGTGCATTTATGTTCTTTATATTCTTGCTGCTCAGCTGTTGACATAGTTCTCAACCTGAAGACTCATGAACCACTGAGTAGAGGTTTCATTAGCAAACCTTTTGGTCGCTGCATTGTTGCTGTTACCTTGCTACTAGTTTGAAATAAGGAGCCACCTCTAAAGTATGTCAAGCTCTCTTCTAGAACTCTTCTCAGGTCCCCTGCCATGTCTATTTAGGTATCTAGAAAGCCTTTTAAAAAGACTGGAAACATGAGCATTTTCAAGAAACATTTTGGATGAGAACAGTGAATATACTTGGGAAAATAATGACCACGTAAATGAACTAACTAAAATCACTTGAGTTAGAGATATTTACTTTTTATTAACTTATTTTGAAAAAAGTTTCACATACTGAATTTTCATCATACTCTTTCCTCTGCCCAATCTCTCTCAGGTGCTCCTCACCCCCAACCCACACTCAACTCTGTGTTCTTTCTTGCTTGCTGAAAAACCAAGGAAACAAAACCCACAAATCACAAGAAAATAAAAGCACACAAAATACCCTGGGGTCTGTTTTATGTTGGTCAACACTTCCTGAGTATCAGCCTAAGTTAGAGATGAGCTGATACTGCTAGTGACACTCCACTAGAGAAAACTGATTTTTCTCTCTACTAGCAAGTATCAGTTGCAAATAGCTTTTTGATTAGGGGTGGGACTTTGTGCCCACTCCCCTGTCTCCATACTGGGATTTTGTCTGGGGTGAAATTGTGCAGGCCTTGGGCATTCTGTCACAGGCTCTGTGAGCTCATATGTACTTCAATCCTGTTGTGTGTGGGAGATGCTTTTTCTTTGGTGTCATATACAACTTACAACCTTTCTATTGCCTCCTGGTCCCCATAGAACCCTGAGCCTTGAGGAGGGAGGGGTGTTTAATAAATATATCCCATTTATTGCTCTCAAATTACATTTTAAAAACAAAACTTTAATGGGGCATCATCTGTTTCAAGTTTCATTAAGGTACAAATCAATGTGTAAATCAATTTGTGCTTCATGAACTCATGAGCAATATCTGCAGCTCCTGACATTCATACTTTCTGTCTCTACCACTAAAGTCATGTACTTGTCTTCATCACTATACTAGGTTCCTTCTGTCTTTTAATACCAAGGATCATATTGGTCTCGAACCCTATGTGTACTGGTTCTTAGTGCCTTTTTGGGTGATTTGTGTTCAGAGCATTCAAATACCTTTCTCCCCTTGGTTTTAGTTATTTCAGAGTTAATACTCTTTTAAGCTTCTAAAAGTGGAGTCCTTGCATTTTCTTAAGAACTATGCTTTCCCTTTATGAAAAATTTTACTTCATATTTAAAATTTAAACCTTAATTTCCAAAATATACTTTGATTTCTTACCAAAGGAAAGAGTATATGACTAATTTGACGCACTTATTTTTAATTCCAATCTAAATTATTTTCACTAGTTAAAAAGTTTCTAGAAGATTCTGCAGTTTTATCTTCATTAACCTTAAGTTCTACGTTGATGTTACAGATATAATAAATTTGGCTTTATGGGTATTTCTTTTTATAGAAGCCTTAGAACCCCTGTCAGACTTAAGGTTAATGAAGATAAAACTGCAGAATCTTCTAGAAACTTTTAAGCTTTATTTGCACTTGCTGTTGCTAGAGTCAGCAATGTGTCAATCTTTAAAATTACGTGTGTGTGTGTGTGTGTGTGTGTGTGTGTGTGTACATGCATGCATTTGTGCTGGTGAGAGAATGGCACTGTGGTGTTCTCTTCTTCCACCCTGCAGGCTCGTTCATGGAACAGAACGCATGTAGTCAGGGTTGGTCACAAGTGCCGTTACCCACTGAGCCATCCTGTAGGTCCTCTTAGTGTATTCTTTCATTATCGTACATAATGAAAAGTATATTCATAATCCATAATTAAGAATGTTTGCCTATAAATATACTGTGAATTATTTTTCTCTTCAAGATTTTGTCAGTAGTCCCCAATTTAAACACATTATTAGGAATGATATATTAATTCTACCAGTCAGCCTTCCAAAAACTGGTCAACAACTGGATATTTTTCCTTCTGAGAGTGTTAAGTCATTTTATATAGTATTTATGAGTATATTAAAATATACAACCAAATTTTACAAACATCTTTCAATTGAAAAGGGAAGAATACTCCATCAGATAATTGTGATTTACAAATATGAATTAGAAGTTTATTTCCCATACATTTTATAAATAGCTATCATTTTCCATTTTCATTTGTTCAAGTGTTTTGTTGGTAACTAGCGCTTTATGCATGCTGAGCATGTACTGGACTACTGAGCTCTAGCCATAGCCCCATGCATGATAAAGTGTTTTGTTCTTCTAGATGTATGTTTATGTTAATATAGGTTTGTATATATACTGGAAACAAACTAAGGACAGGAAACTGACGTGTGTAATGCATTTGCTTTATTACTTTGTATAGATTCATTTGAGATAATTGATAAGATTTTTCATTGAACAGTACAGTTTCATTTCTATAAGAATGCCTTATAAGATGTAGATGAAAATTTTCCTAAGCAGAACTTTTACCTTCAGGCTTGCGATTTTCCTGGTAACCCTCTCTTGATATGATACTGTATGTAACATAGTTGAACAGTTCTGAGCAAAAAGAACTATGACAAGTCAGTACATGACATTTTATTAGAGAACAGGATAGAAACTACACCAGAGCTTGGAAGTCAGACCTAGATGTAGTTCTTACACTGTAATTTCACTCAAGTTATCAAATCATCCTAAATCTGTCATTGTAGATGATACAGATACATATTATGTGAACATCTCCAATGAGGTATTTTTTAAGTGGATTAAGAAACACACTTCTGTGTAATGGTTGACAGTTCATTGGACTTGACCATTTGTATTACTATGTGGCCACCAGTCTGAATTATTCCTGTAAGTCTAGACTCCAGTCTAGAAGGCAGAATTTATTAATTTTTTGTATCTTGATTTCTAATTCCCCTATGGTATCACTGGTTTCATGATTTTTTGGGAGAGAGAGGGAGGGAGGGAGGGAGGCAGGGAGGGAGGCAGGGAGGGAGGGAGGGAGGGAGGGAGGGGTATATGTATATAACTGTGTACCTGTAATTCTTCCAACTGCTGATCTGTGTTCACACTGTACTTGCCTTAGATCCTGCGTGGGCTTTCTAAATACCAAGTGATGGGTGCACCTAATATGTCCTTAGTAACTCTGCTGCTTGGGAGAATTGTAAATATACACTTGCAAAATGTATGTTTGTTTCTTTTTCCAGGTGAGCAGAAACCATGTTCAAGATTACACTGAAATAAAATCATTGATGTGAACCCAGTATTCAGTGGTATTGTCAAGTTCACCGGAGCACTTTTAAGGTTCCCAAGGAGACCGCTCATCTGGTTTTCCTCCTACATCTCGGAACACTCCTCTGTCTATTTTACCAACGTTTTTGCTCTGGTTGTTGTACTATTGTATGTGAGCAGACTTAATTCAGCACCTATAGCCTTTTGTTGTGCTTTTCTGATGTGTCTGCCTTCTTCATTAGACTATTATCTTTCAGAGCAACAGCTATTTTTCCTTACTTTGCATATCCTGCATCCAAGACACTACTTGAAATATGGTTGGCATCACTGGAGGTCTTTGAGTCAATTAATATTTTGCAATCTCTTTGTGGCAAAACATTTCCCTTCCGATCTGGTGCTAGTAGAGGTTCTGCTATCTAAGCACCATGTATGTGGTTTATGTGTTTTCGGGGTTTCAGAAACACTTCAGGACAGTTGAAGATGTTCAAGGGCAAGAATTAGTACTCATTTCTATGTCATACCATAAAATGGCTGGCATACTTTTAATATTGTGCCATCATTTAGGGTAACATTAGTGTTTTTGTACTGTTGTTAATTTGCTTAAAATTTTATTCAAAAACACCACTTGCTATAAAGGTAATTGTAAAACCACTACAATGAAAACCTATTATTGTGAGTTTTTATAAAAATAAATTTTAAAATAATATACAAATAATACATTTAATTTTTTGCAATGCTCTATTTACTTCTTAAATGTCAACATTTCCTTGCAGAAAGTACTGTTTTTTTGTTTATTTTAAAGATTCAATGTTGTGTAATATTTGAAGGTGAGCACGAAGGCAGTTCTCAGAGCTAATTATGCCATTTAGTTGCCTAAGTGTTTTTTGCCTCTCTCACTGTTTCAGTTTGCTGTGGCTCGCATCCCTTTCCTAGGCCGCTCAACTAGCTTCTCAGTAGCACATGCTTCCCGCATGTAAAATTGCAGAAAGCTGAGAGCGCTAAATTGGTGTCACTTAGAAAGGCTTCAGGGAAAAAGACTGCTGTAAAAGGGGAACACAAAATGAAGAATTTAAATGAGGGAGCTTGGGTCAACTCTTTCCAGAAGAATAAGCCTATAACAAGGACAAGGAAATTTCAGAGTTTTGCCACAGAGTTGTGTGATGTCAACACTCTTATTCAGTTCATTACAAGGGTTCCAAAGAGGTTCTAATATGGTTGTTGTGTTTTACTTTTTCATTATGAACCATTCTATTGGGAAAGGCTTGAACTCCAATTTAGTGTTAACACCCTTCCTCATGGTACCAGTAAAATGTATTGTGTCCCCATATCTTACAGACTTTGAAATAAAACCACATCTTATAATTTACTGGAGTTTCTATTTGTGATATGTATTGTGGTTTTACTTTCTAAAGAAACCCTTATCTTTTAGAAAACTGTACTGAAAATATACAGATATGCTACTGTTATTTGCTTCAATATCATCAGGGTGGTATAAGTTTGTATATAAATGAAACAAGATTGGCTCTGATTTGATAATTGTTGAAGCTGTGTGATAGATGTTTGAGAATTCATTATTCTCTATACTTTTGTATATGTTTGAAGTTTTCCATAATAAAAATTGCAAAGATGTATTCCTTAGACTTTACTAATAGGCCACCTCTCTCTTTTAGATTCTAAGTATGTATAACTGGTTAGAATAATAATTTACAGGAAGATAAAACTATTCTCAAAAGCTTGCTTTTCTTCCTTAAATGTGTTACTAACTACCAATTTCTTTCCAAGAAGTTTTTTTGTTGGAAGACCTCCAGTTAACATGTACAAAAGGATCTTAGTTCACCCAGCAATTTGTGATCAGGGACATAAGTTAAAATGTAGATGGAACAACACTCCTTTTTAAAAAAAATATATGTATACGAGTGTTTTACTTCTGTGTATGTGCACTGCATGAGGTCACCAGATCCCTTGGAACTGGGGTTAAGGTTGTTTCTAAGCTGCCAATTTGGTGCTGGGAACCCAACTCAAGTACGTTGCAAGAACAGCGAGTGCTTCTAACTGCTAAGCCTTCTCTCCAGTCCCACAACTTTCTTCAAAAATAACATGTTCTAATTAACTTTCATCAAATTCTGAAAATGAAAAGTAAATGAGTAAAGAAACCAAACATAATGCCTCTTTCCAGAGCTTTAAAAAAGTTGAGTTTAAGTCTTGGTTCTTTGTATAGAATCATTTATAATATATATATATATATATATATATATACACTACACACACACACACACACATGCACACTGTGTAGTGGTGTGAGTGTCCACCAAAATATTTCCAAAAGGTCCATGATGTTTCTATTTTAATCACATTCCACACTGGCATATTGCTCTTTCTTAGGATGTTTTATCAAATTTGTACTGCTCCTGATATGCAAAAGTACAGGAAGCAAAAGATAAAACTTGGGTCTGAACTCTACAAGTCAAAACAGGTCAGTTGTGCTATGCTATGCGTGCATGTGTCCTTGTTCTAATATCTTCATACACGTAACTCTGAAGCCACAGGTCTTGAAGTTCTGATAGAACAGCTAGTGTCAATTATCAGCTAGAATCATCTGGGAATTGGGCCTCTGGACCAGTCTGTGGTGATTTGTATTGACGAGGTTAACTGCAGTGGGAAGACCTGGCCACTGTGTGTTGAAACATTCCTTGGTTGAAATTCTGGACTATGGAAGTAGACAAAGCTGAACAATAGCATAGTCAAACTCCTGCTACCTTGACTTCCTCATGATGGGACTATACCAGGCTTTTTCTTTTGGGCCACCAACCAGTTCAAATCATGACACAAGAATTATTAGTTATGAACACTTGGCCTAGCTTAAGCACATTTCTGGCTAGCTATTTCAACTTAAATTAACCTGTTTCTTTTTATCTACCTTTTGCCTCAGGGTTTATTATCTTTTTTTTTTACTTTTGTTTATCTTACTTTCACTGCCTCTCCTGACTGGTTGGCTGACATCTGCCTGGCTTCATGCCCCAGATGTGTCTCTCATTCTCTCTTCAGCCTCCCGTTCTTCTTTCTCTTTAAGCCTAGATTTCTCCAGCCCCACATATCCTTTCTCCTGCCTAGCTATTGCTGTTTATTAGACTAATCAGGTGCCTTAGGCAGGCAAGGCAAAACAGATGCAACATATCTTAACATAATTAAACACACATCCTTATGTCATTAAACAAATACGGCATAACAAAAGTAACACACCTTTATACAGTTAAAGTAATATTCTGCAGCATAAACAAATGTAACACATCTTTGCCCAGTCCAATAATATTCCTCAGCACTATACCCTGAACTGTGAACTGAAAAAATACCTCCCTTGAATTGCTTTTGCTGGGGTATTTGATTTTGGTGACAGGAAAAGAAACTAAGACAAATGGGTTTTCAGAAGTAAAATAATTGCAACATGTTGGCCTCATATAGGCCTCACATACATAGTCTTACCTATTTTACAGGATGTTCATTTTCCCTAGGGCCTCCTCCACCTATGATATCATTTTGTAGCCTCTGACCCTAATATGGTTACTATTCTGGACAGTTGTTTCTATAGGGTAAGCAAGGATACCCCCTACTTTGGGCTAAAGGAAGGGAGAGCTGCTCTCTGCCTTATGCCTTTTTAACCAATAATGTGCCCTCACCCTTACATAATTTCCTACAGCACATTACATACCATTCTGTGACTTTTAATGAGATTTTTCTGAATATAGCAGGAATATGTGAAGGAGATAAAATAAAACATGAGGAGCTTAGTGTGTGGATGACATTTACCACCAAACATACAATCTTAGTTTCATCACATAAATATGGTGGAAGTAGGGAACTTCTAGTTATCCTCTGACCTCCACACACACACCATGGCACTTGCAAAAACATTCACACACACACACACACACACACACACACACACACACACACACACACACACACCATACACAGAGGGGGGGAGAAAAGAGAGAAAATGAATGTAATAACTTTTTAAATAACATATAACTTACATTTAGCATATATAAAATATATGCTAGAAGGATAAGAAAGGTCCTTTCTAGATCCAGTCCTGGACTTGTTTTCTCCAATTGAAGCAGCATGCACAGGTCTGCACAGGGTCTACATGGGCCTGTATGGGCATGTAACAGGTCCTCTGTGTATATATCATTGCTTCCAGTTTAGTGGTTTTATGGGATTTCAGATTGTGAAAATGAGTGGGTCTCAGATTCTTGTACCTTCTCTTGGGCTCTTCCTTTTGTTGGTTTGTCCTGTTCAACCTTAATGTGATATTTTTGGTTTTATCTTATTTTTGTTGTATTTTAAATGGATGATGAATGAATAAATGAATGAAAATCTAGCCAATAGGGTAAAGGTTAACAAGTTGAAATATCACATACCTTCTAGGAGCAGGAAATCAGTTATCTCCAATAGAATGACACTGGGTATATCAACCACTCCAGAGCAGGCCTCATGTTCAGGAATAGTTGACCAACATATAATGGACTACACAATTTCTGTGTGCTTTTATTTGGTTATAGTTTGGTGGGTTTTTGTTTATTTGCTGAGTTTCAGATAGAAAACTGTGAGTTCTTTGTGTTTCTCTAGCAAGCTTCAGGCACATAAACAGAAAGTAATTCTAATTTCTGTAATGCCACTAGCCTTAGTTTCTGTAAACCACTCAAAACACTGGGTCAAGAATTATACTATCTCTTCTAAGAGGTACAGTGTGACTGGGTTTATGTTGAGGTCTTTGATCCATTTGGACTTAAGTTTTGTGCCTAGTGATAGATATGGATCTATCTGTCGGCATCCAGTTATGACAGCACCAGTTGTTGAAGATGCTTTCTTTTTTCCATTGTATAATTTTAGCTTCTTTGTCAAAAATCAAGTGTTCATAGGTGCGTGGGTTAATATCAGGGTTTTCAATTCAATTCCATTGGTCTACCTGTCTATTTTTGTGCCAATGCAAAGCTTTTTTCAGGACTATAAGTCTATAATAGAGCTTGAAGTCAGAGATGGTGATGCCTCCAGAAGTTCCTTAATTGTACAGGGTTGTTTTGGCTATTATGGGAATTTTGTTTTTCCATATAAAGTTGATTATTGTTCTTTCAAGATCTGTGAAGAATTGTGTTGGTATTTTGATGGGGATTACATTAAATCTGTAGATTGCTTTTGGGAAGATTGCCACTTTTAACTATGTTGATCCTACCTATTCAAGAGCATGGGAGATCCTTCCATTTTCTGATATCTTCTTTAAAGACGCAAAGTTCATGTTATACAAGTCTTTCACTTGTTTGGTTAGCATTACCCCAAGGTATTTTATGTTGTTTGTGTCTATTGTAAGGGGTGATAATTCTCTGATTTCTTTCTCAGCCCATTTATCTTCTGTATATAGTAGGGCTACTGATATTCATGAGTTGATCTTGTATCCTGCCACTTTGCTGAAGGTGTTTATCAGCTGTAGGAGTATCCTGGTAGAAGTTTTTGGGTCACTTATGTAAGCTATCATATCATCTGCAAATAGTCAAAGTTTGACTTCTTCCTTTCCAATTTGTATCCCTTTGATCTCTTTTTGTTATCTTATAGCTCTAGCTAGTATCTCAAATACAATATTGAAGAGATATGGAGAGAGTGGACAGCCTTGTCTTGTTTCTGATTTTAGAGGAATCACGCTGAGTTTCTCTCCATTTAGTTTGATGTTGGCTGTTGGTTTTTATTATGTTTTAATTTTTATTGTTTTTATTATGTTTAGGTAGGTTCCTGTTATCCCTGATCTCTCCAAGACCCTTAGTATGAAGGGGTGTTGGATTTTGTCAAAGGCCTTTTCAGCATCTATTGAGATGGTCATGTGATTTTTCTTTTTCAGTTTGTTTATATGGTGGATTACACTGATGGATTTACATATGTTGAATCATCCCTGCATCTCTGGGATGAAGCCTACTTGATCATGGTGGATGATTTTCCTGATGTGTTCTTGGATTTGATCCGCCAGTATTTTATTAAGTATTTTTGCATCAATGTTCATGAGGGATATTGGTCTGTAGTTCTCTAGTTTTGTCTTTGTGTGGTTTGGGTAGTACCAAGGTAATTGTAGCCTTGTAAAAAGAGTTTGCAATGACCCTTCTCCTTCTATTGTGTGGAACAATTTGAGGAGCATTGGTATTACTTGTTCTTTGAATTTTTGATAGAAGTCTGCATTGAAACCTTCAGGGAGATGTAAATCAAAACAACTCTGAGATACCATCTCACTCCTGTCAGAATGGCTAAAATCAAAAACACCAACAACAGTTTATGCTAGAGAGGATGTGGAGAAAGGGGAACAGTCATCCACTGCTGTGGGAATTCAAACTCATACAGCCACTTTGGAAATCAGCATGGCATTTCCTCAGGAAAATGGGAATCAGCCTACCACAAGATTCATCAATTCTACTCTTAAGCACATACCCAAAAGATGCACATTCATACAACAAGATCATCTGTTCCACTATGTTCATAGAAGCATTATTTGTAATAGCCAGAACCTGGAAGCAACCTAGATGCCCCTCAACCAAAGAATGTATAAAGAAAATGTGGTACATATACACAATGGAGTACTACTCAGCAGAAAAAA